GCGCCCAGCCGCACAGCCCAGCCCCAGGGTCAGCCCAGGCTGGGGTACCTGGCAGGAGCGCTTGGCTCTGCATCCACTGGGACAGGGCGCGGGAGCGGGCTTGGGGGGCCGTCCCGCTGAAACCCCCGTCACCAGGGGGGTTTCCCTTCCCAGGGCTGCGTCCCCACTAGCAGAGCCCGCGGTCAGGGTTGACCCTCTGGGGCCGATCCCTGCCCTGCCTGTCGCAGGGGAGGAGAGCTGGTCCCCCGATATGCTCTGTCTGCTGGTCTCCACCTGACCCTCCTGAGATGCTGGTTTTTGAGTGGCAGTTTCATAATAAATTAACAAAGCTTATCGTTTCCTTGAGGGCTCCCCACCCAGAGGAGCTGGAAGGAGAATGGCCCCACTGCCCTCTTCTCCACCAGCCAGTTCCAGCCTCCTCTCCCAGCTGGGAACCCGAGGGCCACCAAGGGGAAGGGACACATATGGGGTCTCCATATGAGACCTTGCAGGACTCAGCTGGGGTGACTACCCTGCACGGGCACTCCGGTCACCCCTGTCCCCCCCTGACGCTGCCTCCTGCCCGCAGGTTTCTGGCACAGCCCCGAGTGTGAGTTCCTCCGGCAGTGCATCGCGCGCTCGCAGGAACCGGTGGTGGGCACCGTGCGGCTCTCCGTCTTCAAGGGCCAGGTCTACATCCTGGGCAGGGAGTCCCCACGGTCGCTGTACAACGAGGAGCTGGTGAGGTGAGTGGGGCTTGGGGGGGACAGGGTGGGCAGGGGTGGTGGCAGCGAGCACCCCAGCCCATCTCATTCCACTCCATCCCATCCCTTCCTGCTCCATCCCACCCCATTCCACTTTGTCCTATCCCATCCCTCCCAATCCCTTTCCACTGCATCCCGTCCCATCCCGTCCTGTCCCATCCCTGGTGACACCAGTGACGCCGTCCTCCCAGCCAAGCGCCCAACCGAAGCACGAGCCCTGTTTTCCAGTCAATATTATTTTTTTCCTCCAGCTTTTCCCTTTTCTTCTCGTTGTTTTCTCTCTCACTCGCTCTCTCCCCCCCAGCCCTCCCTCAACCCCTTTCAATCTCTCTAAACACTTTATAAGCCATAAATACACCCGAATGAGTTTAGATCAGTCGGAGTAAATGTCAAATTATCTTCTCTCTTTCTCTTCTCTGGCTTTTTTTCCCCCCTTCCCTCCCCCTCAAAATCAACAGCTCCTAATAATCCGTCCCAACCCTTCATTATGCTTCGCGCTCTCACTTGGAGAGATTAAATGAATAAAGTATTAAAAAAAAAAAAAAAAAAAGAGGGAAGAAAAAAAAGGAGGATGGAGGGGGGTGGGACGGAGGAAAAAGAGAGAGGGAGAGAAAAGCAGGGGCACTTATTCTCCCTGCGTCTCCAACCATTTTCCTTTTCTTTTTGATTTCTACATCGCTGGTTTGAAAGCCTTTGAGTGACGGCGTCACAGGAACCCGAGAGAAAGCTGTGAGAGGCAGAGCTGTGTGGAAATGCCTCTGCACAGTAGGTAGAAAGTAACGTAATTATAGAGCAGGTCAGAACCACTCGAATGAGCAAAAATAAAAGCACAGAGGTTTTTCTGTAGCCCGTCAGGGGAGGTAAAATCATTGTAAACTCTTTCTTATTTTTTTTTTTCTTCTTTATTTCCTCCTCCCCCCCTTTCCTCCTTAAAGGTTTGCGGTTTCTGGGAAATGAGCCGTGTGTTTTGGGGATGTAGGAAACCAGTGGAGCTGGGAGTCGGTGGGCGGCTGCTGCCTTTTGGGAAGGGGATGTGTTCCGTGTTGTAGTGGGGCACCCGGCTGTAAACCCCATGGGTGCCAGGGTGTCCTGCAGCACTGCTGTCCTGCCTGGGGCAATGTCCCCTGCCTGGGACCCCCTGCCCGGGGCAATGTCCCTGCCCACCATGGGACAGCCTTTGCCGGGGACAGCGCGGGCGCAGGGCGAGCATCCCCGCTTGACGCAGGGAGGAAGGGTGAGGATGCACATGAGGGACTGAAATTTGGGGCTGAGTCTCTAGCAGGGCGTGGGGAGCCCGGGGACGGCCATCGGGGTGGTCTTGCGTCTCCGCTGCTCCCCAGGCCACATGCCCCTTCCCGGGGGCTGGCGGGGGCCCCGCCCC